CAGATCTATTGCGTTTCTTATTCTTTTAACCATGGGTGATATTTGATGGACTCCCTACTGCGGTCCCCATAATCATAGAACAGTTCTTGCCCTTTTTTGATATTGTGTCTTGCCAGCAGCACCAATCTATAAAAAAATCTGCTTTAGTCCGACTTATATGCTTGGTAGTGGGTTTGTATACCTTGGCAAGCCATCCACAAGTATGGATTTGGTGTATAGGTTACTGCTGGTTCTGGAATGGTTGATCAATCTCCCCAATCGTCCCGTTTCTTGTGTTGCGTCAATGCTAGAAGAAATTGATTAAACACATGCATTTCGCTGATTAATAAGGTGCTAACCAAAACGTCCGATCCTTGTATTTAAAATAATACATATAACAGCCAGTAGTTTCGTCTCGGGCATAGTGTTCTTCACGCTGATTCGCTTCCAGTAAACTAAGAAAATCGCCACTGTATTCCACTACGAACGAGTCCTTTTCGAAGTTCCTAGTTGCGAAGACACTTCTTCCCTTGTTTTCAGTCAGTCGGCACTGAAAAGAAAAACTCTTAGAATCGTTTGGTCATTGCTAAGTATCTTTATGTACCCACCTCTAGGCCGTCTTCAGTCTCGTTTCTCAAATAGTTTTCAAGCGACTTTTGCTTTTCCCTTAAAACCTGCATTTTTGTCTTTCTATTAGACTTCCTTAGTGAAAAATATTCTGTTAGCTTGCGGCTAGGCCTATATTCTTCATTTCCTCGACTTTCTTTCGGAGCTGAAAATTAAATTTTGGATACAATATGGATAATACTCATTTACTGCTGCAGCTGATCGCAGCACGAGATCTTTGAGTATTAAAGCATGTTTTAACAAAACTACCCCAAAATAATCTAGAATGAATAAATCGGAGATTTGGATGTTCTGGGATAGATTTTAGTTGCGTGTATAAGATTTACATGCACATGTATTTCTTAATTACCTTTGACCATGTTGCAGTGATGATTAAGGCCGCTTGACTTCTTTCACTGAAAAATGCTGATCTGTTTGTACAACTGCAGTGTTTTTTACAATTTAAAGACAAAAAGCTGTATAAAGAAGCAGAGTTTTATTGAAGAAAATCCGAACTTCCTCACAATGCTATGGTTTGTTTACAACTAATTTCACTAAACATGGCTGGGCGACGTTGTCGGTTAATTACAGTTTAAGCATATTTTAAGTACATTTTAATTGGCAGTGGCACGCGGGTTATGATTGGTTCAATTACAGTGTTAATAAGCGGGTTATTTAAACTGAGCCTTAGTTAGAATACAAGTCGCCTAATATTGAGATTTAATGAGGAGAAACATCTCTTCCACAATTTTATTATTTATTAAAAAAATAGTTCCAAATTAAAATTGAATTTTTTTAGATTTTAATAGAACTGTATTTTGTGTAGTTTATTTTATGTTTTTTTCAGACGCCGTTAAATACTAGACATTTATAATATTATTCCTTGTTCCCGACGGTTACACATCTCCGATCTTTGCGGGTGGTAACAAAATGCATATTCTGACCTTCTTACGTCGAAAGCACAGATCACAGAGCAACCTCTGTGATCTGTGGCCGAAATGACGAAGATATCGTCGGTTAATCGTTGAGCGTTGACGATTTCTTCCTTATTATTAACCCAAACAATTTATAAATGCACATTAGTGACCTTCTTACGTCAAAAGGAACCGACTGAGCTCAAAAAACATGCTGTGATATTTTGATTTTTGTCCAAAATGTTCTCAAAATGTCTTAAATTGTACATCATTTCCATTTCCCGGACGCGAAGAATGCATCGAACTGATTAAAAAGCATGCGAGAAGTTTCAGATGGAATGCACTCTTTCCTTGGTCACCCTGTGCTGTTGTTTTCCAATATACCGGGTCTCAATTTGAAAACTCCCCGCTCTTAATGTCCCGCCAACGATTTAAGTCGCAAAAATCATCAATATTTCCTTTACAATCGCTAAGTTTCTAGTTTTCAAGTCACATTTTCGGGTCCTTCAATCCTTTGACACGCAATTCCAACAAATAAGACACTTTTTCCAAAACGAATGTGTTAAAACCGGTCAATTTAAAACTTCAATTGCAATAAATACTGCTTTACTGACAACTGATTTCAAAGTTGATGTGTTCATAATCACTCGTTGTCATGACAAATGTCTTGTATTCAAAGAGTCGACAAGCGATTGGTCGGTCAGGTTTATGTGTATCTTGGAAAACACGTCACCAGGGACGGTTTCTTGGCAACGAAGGTTGTTGAATTCTTCGAATGGCGCAAAGTGCTGATTTTATGTGGAAAATATTCCTTGTGGAAGAAAAGAATTATTGACGAATGGGTGTGAGTGAAATATTGATTTTTGTCCGAAAATTTTCCAAGGGTGGGGTCGATTTTTTGAAAAAATTTAAATTTTGTGGGTGCCGCAACAAACGTTACCCAAACTGCAACAGTTTTGAAGAAATGCAATAACAATAAATACATTTTAATTTCGTTTTTTGTGCGATGTGGAAGATGCAAATGCTTTGGTTTGTTTGGGTTTGTAAGTTTTGTTTTTTTTCATTTTTTGAAATATTGAAGTGGCGAATGGTTGGATTTGCTTGGGTTATTAAGTGTTTTTTCTGTTGTTTTGTTAGTTTGTTACAATATTTATATGTCAAATTTACTCCTGGGTTTCAGTCATTTATTGTCTCTATTTATCAATCAAAATACGTTTCGGTGTATTTTTCCACCATCATCAGTTTTTATGTGTAGCGTTGTTGCTGCTTTAAGCCTTGGCATGCGTTTGCAAATTGAAACACAGTCAGGCAAGTATATACAATATTTATATGAAATATCGTATCTTTGCAAACATTTAAATATGTTACTTTTATAAGAACATTTCATAAAATATGTTTTCATGTCTATTACGATTAGTATCAGTTGAAAATACTTTTCCACAAGTCACACACAAAGCCGGCATTTAAAAAAAATTAGGGGTCTAGTAATAAAAGTAGTTTTTTCCTGGTCTAACCTGCCAACGAATAAATGTGGCGTTAGATTAGAAATGACCGATCGGGGTAAACGGCAACGTTGGACTGTCCTTTGTTTAGCTGCTCCTAGATGGAACAGGAAAGTTGTCTGAAATAACAAAAATGGCATTTTTCGAAAAAATATTTCAAATGAAGTGTGATGAAAGCAATAAACTACAGTTTGAGTACTTTTTTATATTTTCTGAGTTATCGGGAGTCAAACGAGACCGAGAATGATACCGTCTAAAAATCACCCAAAAGCCTCTAATTGTGGCTGAACACGGCATTGGTCCGAAAAAAGTTTCAAACAAAAGGTGTGCGTAATAGGAAAAGCTATAATTTGATAGCACTTTTATATTTTTCACTCGACTCGTTATGGTGAAGCTACGGAGTTTTCCATTGGAGAGGTGGACCCAAGGGGGGTGATTTCAAGTGGCTAGGGTTAACTTTTTTTCTCTTCTTTTTTGACAGAACAACTGAGCGCAAGTGAATCCAACAAGCTGGCATTGTGGCCGAGTTCCGTGGTCCGAGGATCGAATGCCCAGCCGTGCCACATACGAATGAAGATACTTTTTTCTGTTTTAGTAAATTTTAGTAAATTTTAATTTTTCCGAAAAATCGACTCCCACTCTTGTAACATGGTGACGAACTCCTTTTCACGAAAAAGAAATTGAAACCAGCCCTTCAAGGTTTCTTACCCGTGTTCTATTTACATTTGGCGTTATTTTTATAAAAATGTACTCTCCTTATATTTTTCGGTAGTTCCTGGACGAATTTTAATAGCGTTAAGGCGTTAGATTAGAAATGACCAATCGTGGTAAACGGCAACGTTGGACTATCCTTTGTTTAGCCGCTTCTCCGTCAACCGTCACTTGTCTTGTTCTATGAGCGTCAATCGTCCGCCATTTGCAGTCAGATCTCTTATTCTATGAGATACATGCTTTTAATGAGCACTAATAGTCGCAGTGATCAAATATTAACAAGTTTTTAGTGTATTTGAAGTTGAGGAAATCAAAGGTAAGCTATTGCTAACGGACGTTTTTATATTCGTTGAATTGTACATGGTGTACTCAGTTATTTATATCTGCTTTCGGTTTATTGTTGACATCCGATAATTGTCTAGTTTATGTTACCCTTTCGTTTGAAGCTAAAAATATGCTTTGATTCTTTTTTTGATAAAACTTCGATTCTACCCCTTGATCAGAAATGCGGTTTTCGATCATTAAAGTTTGCAGTTTTTGCATACAATCAGGTCACGCCATCGTATTTAAGTGACCAAATACGTTTTTGATAGCTACATATCACACTTTATTATCCCACTTTGAGAGTACATCACCACAAAGATATGCATAAGTAATATAAAAAAGGTAGTATAATGCTGATGTTAATCGTCAAGGATAAGTTCGCTGTTCCCTTGTCAAAACTGTTGTATATTTACACTTTTCAGCTTGTTTCACAAGGTTGACCATTCCCGAATGCCTCCATTGAATTCCAAATTATAATGTAACTCAACTCTGTGGACCAAGCCTGAACCCTGTAATTATTGTCACATTTTCCAATATTTGTTATAATACAAATTCACAAGATATAGTAAAATTATCATAACGCTTTACAATCATTAGCTTTCCTAAATATTAATAGCGATTCTATCCTAATTCTGATAGGACCGAATCCAGGTCCTCCTGCAAACCTGCAGTCATTTCCTTCTGTTTGTTGAGATCGTCTTGTAACCTGAAAATACATGATGCATTTAGAGCACAGTTTAACTGCGATTGTTTGAATCCAGGCGTCACCTTTCAGCATTGGTCTTGAGCAAGAAGTTGCCCTTCTTTAGAGCTCCTAATCTGGATTCATGTCTCTTTGACCGGCTTGCCAAATTCGTCTTTTTCTTCTCCAGAGGGGCGTCTTCCGGTTCACTTAGACTCTTTTCAGAATCACTCTCGTCTGTATCGCTCTCGGTTTCAGTCTCCTCGTCGCTGCTCTCTTCTTCCTCCTCTGTCTCCTCGTCGTCATCCTTCTCTTCCTCGTCTTCGTCCTCATCCTCGCTCACGTCCTTAAGGAGGGCTGCCATTTTGTCCACCTAGTGAGCAGATAATTATCTACAAGCCCTACTTGCTTTCTATGAGTCGCTGGTTACCTCTTTTTTAATCTTATTGTATCGTTTCTTTTCCTCCTTGATGGCCAATTGGTTCTTTTTGATGATCTCTTTGAGGGCTATGCGCTCCTTTTTGGCGTTGTCTTCCTTATTTTTGAAATTCCTCAATTTGTTTCCTAGTTGCTTCACCTGGAAGGGTTGAAATTATTCACACATCAAGTGCAGCCTGCCATGCAGCGATCTCACCTCTTTTTGTAAACGCTTTTCTCGTTTCTCTGGCGTGTCTTCGCCGTCACTTTCCTCTTCAGTCTCATCGTCAGCCATCTCGTCATCGTCTCCCCCATTTACCACGCTGTTTTGCCGCAAACTACCAATGGACACTCGTTTACCTGTAAATACATCTTATTTGTATATCTGTGGGGGCTTAGATCACATCACGATCACGCAAGCAAGGACAAACTGCAGTTATTTTACTGTTGTGTATATGTACCATTGGCAGGAATAGCGTGAGCAGTTAAATTTAGCCAAGCTGCGGATTTAGGCGGCATTGGGGATGCTGCAAACTTGTAAAAATGAATTCATGTTATGCGTACAAAACTCGGCCGTTTACCTCCCAGGGCATCCAACAGCTTTTTCTCCAATTCCGCATTCTTTCTTTTGGTGTCTTCGAGCTGAAGTTTGGTGGTATCCAGAGTTTTCATCGCTTCCGTGTACCGCTTTTCGATTTGTTCCGAGTTCTTGCGCGACTGGTCCGCTTCCTTCTTAAGTGACTGAATAACCTAGAATAGCAGTGTTTGATTTGGTTGGTTAACAGCTTGCATGCGAACAATCTACTTTGTCTCCTGTCACGTTGCTTGTTTTCAGAAGAATTTGAATTAATCATGTCGATGCGGCCAGATGACCATAGAAGGAAGTGGGATCGCGAGGAGTACGAAAAACTCGCAGAAGACAGGAAGAGGGCAGAGCAAGAGCTGAAAGACGATGTGGACAACAAGAAAAAGGGCCCCCCTGTTAAAAGAGAGTTTCTCAAAATTCGGGAGTATAAAGTGGACTTGGACTCCAAATTGGGCAAAAGCATTGTTATAAGTAAAAACACCCCCACATCCCAATCGGGAGGTTACTACTGCAATGTCTGCGATTGCGTGGTCAAAGACTCGATCAACTTCCTGGACCACATTAATGGAAAGAAACATCAGAGGAACTTGGGGATGTCCATGAAAGTGGAGCGCAGCTCCTTGGACTCTGTCAAGCAGCGCTTTGAGCTGAACAAGAAGAAGATGCAAGAGAAGAAAAAGGACTATGACTTGCAGACTCGGCTGACTGAGATTGCCGAAGAAGAGGAGAAGCTCCGGGAGTACAGGAGGGAGAAACGGAAGGAGAAGCGAAAGACCGAGGAAATGAAGGACGACTTGGACGTGCCCAACGAACTGGCCAGTATCATGGGATTTTCTGGATTCGGCTGTTCGAAAAAATCCAAGATAACATCCTAATTTTGTTATTATTATGCTTTAAATGTGTATATAGGTTAGGCTGCGAAAAATCATAGATATGTATATGGATTTTCCTTGCAATTGCACCCTGTTATCGGATCTAAATGTGTATATAGGTTAGGCTGAGATAGATAAAGCTGGGTTCTTATGAGTCTGGAATGCGGAAAGCCTTCCGACCAATCAGAAGTTTGCAGGATGTGTTCGCTCCGCCCATCCGCAGGTGTTTCCAAATTTTAAAATTTTTCGCGCGCGCACTTTCCGCATTCTGCTTCCTCATAGCATTCCGGACCAATGAGAACCAAGCTTTATAGAAATGTATATAAAGTTCTCTTGTAATTACCCTCGAGTTTTTCTATATGAGGATAAATGTGAATTAATCGATTAAGAAATATGGTCGCAAAAATGGTAGGTTTACCTTGTCATCAGCGGTGCTGGCAGCTTTGGTGTGACCGCCGCCCGCCTTAGCTTTCTCCAGTTCGGCCTCCATATTCGCAATCCTTTGCAGCAGCCGTTTGTTTTCCATCTCTTGGGCTTCCTTGTTGCGCAGCTCTAAGGCTAGCATTTGTTTGGTGCTCTGGAGGTCGTCCCGCACCTTGTCAATGTCGTCTAGCTCATCTACTTCTTCTGGCGCAATTTCGTCCTGAGGTCGCGCAGAAATCCGGCTCAATTCTTTTATGAGAACTGATCGGTTGGGTACTTACGCTTACCGGCGGTATGCTGGCCATGGACATGGACTTTTGAATTTGTTCTTCAATGGTCATCTGGCGGCGGAACTTGCGAAGCCCCTCTAGCATCGGTTTGCTTCTGTCGTTGGTCTGCACTTTCTTCAGCTTGAAGCCGGTTTCGATCTGAAAAGTTCACTCATCAGGCATCGTCTGTAGAGGCTGCTAGCGCTACAGACGATCTCTCAGATACCTGCTTTAGGAGTTCGTTGTGTACATTGGGTTTTTCGCTGTCGTACAAAAAGTGCTCTTGGGCTTTGCCCTCGGGCAGGATGGGCTGCGATCGGTCATTGCATTCGACGTGCTTCAGCTTCCTGCCGCCCTCGATTTCTTTGAGGGTTGCTGACCAGTCTGGGCGCACTTTGGGCCTAGATCTAGAAGAAAACCGATAGAAAATAACCTGTTGATGTTAAATAGCTCTTACTTGAGTAGTTCCAGCTTTTTGGACTGTTTATCGGTCAGCAGTTTTTTGGGAGTTTCTCCCGGCATCCCAGGGGGCGGAGGCGGCATCGGTGGCGGCGCCGGACCGTGTAGTGATAGTTTCCGCACTGATTCCGCTCGAACCACAGAGTTTCGTTTGGCTGGCAGTTCCTAAGATGGATACGGTTTTATTTTCTGAAAGATCGCACACCCAATTTGCTTCCGAAAGCTCGTCGTATTGGCACAAATCGAGCTGGAAATTGCTTATAAATAGCCGGGATCATGATTCAACGTCCCGCTTAAAGGTCTTCAAGTGGTCTGCATCAATCTGATGTTGCGCTTGACTTTAACGACTCGGCAAGTCGGTTTAAAATTAAATACATTGCCAATGAATTTATTGAACAGTTGTTGAGTGGCAAGTTAAACATTTGCTACTTACTCGATCAATTTCCAAGTCTTCTATTGTGCTGTCTCGTCTGAGCAGTGACGGTTTTCGATCACTCAGTTTCCTTTCTTCCACTTTATTCAGTTTGGGCAGGTCATGAATTTTGTGATCCTGCAAATAGCGCACTTTCAGTTTCTTTCAACAAGTTTTTTTGTTGCAGATTTTTCGGGCGGCGCGCACTTGGATTGAGCACGGTAAGTCGATTCAAGTATTTCCAATGGTTTGCTCACCTTTTTGGGTGGGGATTTCTCCCTCTGGGGCACCGGTTTGAGTTGCGGCTTGACGAAGAAACTATCCTTTTCCTCTCCATTCTGTTGGGGCTCTTTGGTTTGGACGGACGTTTTGCGCAGTTTTACTCCGGCTGTACAAGAAGAGGAAACGCTCAAGTTACCAATCGATTAATTAATTGTCTGCTGGTTTTACCTAGCGGATTGTTCTCTTTCTCTTTGCGGAAACTTTCGCGTTCGCTGTCTTTCTTTTTCACGCGGCGCAGCTGAATTCCGTCTATAATGTTCAGAAAGTTTAACAGTTGCACAGTTTGCGTAGCTCTACTAATCGAGTGTGGAACAAACTAGGACTAACGGGTGATTTTTTTAATGCATTTAGGTCTTTACAAGCGTTATACGTAAGCGCATTCACCAAATTGTCTACAACTCATCCCGCATCTGGATCTCTTGGGAATATTGCTGTTTCACCCGCATTGAAGCAACCGGTTAATTCTATGATAGACTTTGATGCAACATAGAGATTGGTTTGCGTCAAAGTATATCTATGTTGTAGCGAAATTGGGTGAAGAACTTTCCACACTGAAGCTTCTAGAGTTAGTCACCTTAAAGCATGTGTCCCATGCATCCGTTTATACGATGGTACGATGATACGAAAGTGTTTCTATTGGTTGGAGATCTGTCAATTCGTCCTCCGTTCGTAAGACGGCGGACGAATT